CGACATTATTGAACAAATGATGATTTTTTTACAAATAAATACAAATACAATCCGTTTATTTCCACATTTATAATCACAAATTACAATAATATCGTAGGTACATTTTAACATTAGGCAGTTTTACTAAGGAACTTGATATCAGTTAGGTACATAAGTGGAAGAAAGGTGTGAACACAGCATGGCTGATTTTAAGTCCACCCTAGTATTTTAAGTTTTTTGTAATGTTATACTTACAGGAAGCTCCGGAGTAAAGCACAACCTTGCGCCAGAATTCTATGTAGTCTTCGTTGCCAGAACTCTTTCTGATCATCTCCAACAGTTGAAGGATTGTTACTGCAAAATATAAAATATGTGTTACAAGACAAGAAACAAGGTGATGTATTGAACAAGTAGATGTGTTGAAAAACAAAAAACCCAACTGCAGTAATTTTAAAGTAGTATTTTTCACGACACCTCATATGTCAAAATCCAACTATGCGTTTGGGCTGTAGCCCGTGAAAAAGAATTTTCTTGTCCACATAGGTACATACATATATGTTACAGGCAAAACCCTTAACCAGTCAATAACGTTAATGACTGGCAAAACCAGGCAATAACGTTATTGCCTAAGGTACTCAGTCAAAACCCTTATTTACTGATATTATCTAATGAAATCAGTCAATAACGATATTGACTGACGTGCCCAGTCAAAACCCTAAATAGGTACGTCCTGGCTGGTCTTAGATCACCATCAAGACCGTTAGATGGTCACAGCCAGAGTGGAAGTCTGCTGTCTCGCGCGCCGGTTGTTATTCCATAAGGACATGCCCAAGTCGTAGACGGCTCTTCACTTATGTCGACCTCAGCAGATTCATGGCCTCACCTCCCAGAAGTCATAGACCTCCCGGTGGTTACTCGAGGACTCGGGCTCAGTGCCATCGGCGAGCGAAACAGTAGACTTTCACTCTGACTGCCTCCATCTTCTATCTTCTATAAGATGCATTTTGGTGAGCGTGCGCAATCGCCCCAAGACCTGATTGTCCCCATTCCACCTCCGGGGATCGCGTCGCCGACTGGGATTACACCTTTTATCAGCTGGTGAGATAGCAGACAAATGCGAGCCTATCTTGTTTTAAAAAAAAAATATCGATCCTGACGGTTACTAAGCTGTAACCACTCCTACCCACCGCATCGCACCGTAGCTCACCGCACAGGCTTTCCGCCGCATAGCACATAAACTCACCGCAATTCAGTGCTTCTCGCCGCATCGCACACCGAAACTCTCCGCACCGCACTGCTTTCCGCTGCATCGCTCATAAACTTACCGCAATTCAGTGCTACCCGCCGCAACGGCCATAAACTCACCGCAACCCAGTGATACCCGCCGCATCGCACACCGAAACTCTCCGCACCGCACTGCTACCCGCCGCAAAGCACATAAACTCACCGCAACCCAATGATACCCGCCGCATCGCACACCGAAACTTTCCGCACCGCACTGCTTTCCGCCGCAAAGCACATAAACTCACCGCGACCCAATGATACCCGCCGCATCGCACACCGAAACTCTCCGCACCGCACTGCTTTCCGCCGCAAAGCACATAAACTCACCGCAACCCAGTGATACCCACCGCATCGCACACCGAAACTTTCCGCACCGCACTGCTTTCCGCCGCAAAGCACATAAACTCACCGCAACCCAGTGATACCCGCCGCATCGCACACCGAAACTCTCCGCACCGCACTGCTACCCGCCGCAAAGCACATAAACTCACCGCAACCCAGTGATACCCGCCGCATCGCACACCGAAACTCTCCGCACCGCACTGCTACCCGCCGGAAAGCACATAAACTCACCGCAACCCAGTGATACCCGCCGCATCGCACACCGAAACTCTCCGCACCGCATTGCTACCCGCCGCATCGCTCATAAACTCACCGCAATTCAGTGCTACCGCCGCAACGGACATAAACTCACCGCAACCCAGTGATACTCACCGCATCGCACATAAATTCAACGCATGGGCATGTCCTTAGGAATAACAACCGGTGATCGAGACAGTAGACTTCCATTCTGGCTGCGACCATCTAACGGTCCTGATGGTGATCTCAGACCAGCCAGCCAGTCTAGGTTGCTGCCATCGGGGCGGACGTACCTATTAAGGGTTTTGACTGGGCATGTCAGTCAATATCGTTATTGACTGCTTTTAATAGATAAAGCCAGTCAATAAGGGTTTTGACTGAGGCCCTTAGGCAATATCGTAATTGACTGGTTTTTCCAGTCAATAACGTTATTGACTGATTAAGGGTTTTGCCTGTAACATATATACATACATACTTTCGAATAACATAACCCTCCTTTTGAGGCAGTCGGGTAAAAACAAAAACCCGATTGTATTTTGTGATAAAAATCCGCCATCTTCAATTTATGAAATTCAGTCAGTGTCACTCACGCTGCTGAAACGAATCTAACGACACCTCACATGTCGAGATCCGCCCAGTCGTTTGAGCTGTAGCCCGTGAAAATGATCTTCTTGTCTACATACATACTCTCAAAAAACATAACCCTCCTAGGTAAAAATCTTCTCATATGGCGAAGTTACAGCAGGAAAGTTGCTTACGTTTCTTAGTCGTCAACTTGAGGAAAGCCACGCTGGCTAGACGAATGGTGGTCGTCTTCGTGAGGTACAGAAGGAACTCCAAGAATTCAAGAGCATTCGTTTTCCTTGTGATGGAGTTGATCTTTTTCAAAATAGTGACCACGTCTAAAAATAATAAAGAAATGTTAGAATAATCAACACACATACACATTTGTTTCTTGCGGAGTAGGCAGAGCATCAAAGCCTTAATAATAAGGTTGTTATCGCCTATTGCGATATTTAGTTAAGGGCCATTCCAGAAAAATCGTATTTAGTGAGTTATTGGCAGGTAGGCATTAAACTGACGAAAAAAAACAGATAGGTATTTCATTTATTTTTAATAAGTAGGTGTTTTCGTGATTTTGCAATGTTCCTTTAGTACAAGTTGTTCATAAAGATGCCTAGAATCACCAGTTAGAATAAATGTCGACGCTGGTGACACACTGTATACAGGGAGTAACAAAAAGTGTAGGTAGAACAAAGTCTCCCATACAAAATCGGCGATCAGCTGATTCATTTACTATGGGGGATCCAATTTTTAGACCCATATTCTATGGGAAAAGTTGTTCAGTTTCATGAGTACCTTGACCTCCTTTCGGCTTGCCCTTTTTGTTACGCTCGGTTTTACGTTTTATAACTTTTGTTAACTATCTTCAAAAAGTCAGTCATGTGTAGTAAACAAGACAAAACTCACCTGGTAGTTTGAAAACGTCGACCATTTCTTGACGCATCTGCTCCAAGTCCTCTTTGCCCGTGATGTTGGCTAAACTGTCCATCACTTCGGCCAAGTCTGTTGAAAAAAGAAACATTTTAGAAAAAGAAAAGGGAAAGAAAGATAAAACAGGATTCATCATCTTCCTGCACTTATCCCAAATCAGTTGGGGTTGGTGCAACATGTTTTGCTAGAATACAAAATCATGTAGCAGCAAAAGGATTTGGCTATATACTATGTTTTATGATGACGCCTGACGTCAACCCTTTTTGGGAACACTATTGCAGGTGGTATCACCGCCACCATGCGTTTGACCATAGTCGACAAAGATTTAACCGAGCTGTTCAAAAACTATACGTCGCCTTTTACGAAACACCCTGAGTGGACTAGGGGTGGCAGAATTCTTAGTCTCTACCACACGGCGTAAAAAATAATTATCCAGAACCCGAGTCCAGAACAAATAAAAGTTATCGAAAGTTATCGAAAGAAGAAAAAATTTCAAATTTTTAATTATATAAAACTGAGTGTACTTACTGAGTTTGTTGGTTGCACGCAAGATCTCTTCAATGGCGAATTTCAGTTCTGAAAATATTTACAAAAATCTTGAATTCTTGTCTAATAGCACGCCTCTAGTAGAACAGATCAATTTTAGATACCACTACTACTACTACAGCCACAACAATCCACTGCCGGACATGGGCCTCCCCCAATTGGTGGGTATTGCCGTACTCACCACGCTTGGCAGGCGGATTGACAAGCGCATATATTCACCCATGGATGATTATCCCTTAGTCGTTTTTTGACAGCCAATGTGGCGCAGTGGTTAATACGACTGTCTGCGACGCAGAAGGTTCTGGGTTCAATTACCGGTGGGGTCACTCATAAAGTTGATATTTATCACTTTCAGAATTTATTCCCAGTCTGGTTAGGACATTGCAGGCTGAACCACCTGATTGTCCGCAAGTAAGATGGTTCCGTGCTTCGGATGGGCGCTTTAAGCCGTGTCGGTCCCGGTTGCTGTCTCATTCAGACGGCAGTTAATTAATACACAACCTCATCAGAGATCTACTACCTGCAGTAGGTGATTGAAAAACTCTGACGCCAGGGTTTATCGAGTCGTTGGACGACTTGGTGTCCCACTCGAAGAAGAAGAAGTCGTTTTTTACGACACTTCCGTATAAAAAGAGGTGATGCTATTCTAAGCCGGCATCAGAGGGCACCTTTGGGTACGGCATTCTGAAAAACACTTACGCTCTTGTCCGGTGATTCTCAGCAGCAGTTGGATGGCCTCAGAGAATGTGTCGGTACGCATCGCCTTGGTGAACAGAATCACGGCTTGGCCCAGGTCTGAAAAAAATGAAGATATTAGCAGGTTTTAGAATGGGAAACTTTCTATTGACAGTTCTAAGTACCAACCAATAAGCAAAATTCAATAGGCTACGTATTGGGATTTTAAATGCACTCACAAGGCACTCACAGTGCTTTATTATTCTCATAAATTGAAAATGACAAACCTGAAAAATTCAGAAACTACTAAATACTTAGATTAGTCCACATTACAGTAGAAATTTAAAGTAAATAAGAAATACCTATTTAGTTGGAAAAACTACTACTAGATATCGCTTCGAGACGAGCATCAAGAGTTTGAGAAATTCATCAGGGTCCGCCAGGCACCTGTAGCTCGGTTGGCAGAGCGGTGGGACGGTACCTCACGGTCCCGAGTTCAAATTCCGGCGGACGCTAATGAATTTTTCAATTTTCTCATTTTGAATATATTTTAATAAATGGCTGGCTGCAACCATGCTGTTGTCACGTTCCGTTTCACGTTGTGTTCGTAACTAGGTAATTTGATTTTTTACGAACGTTTGTTTGTCCACTTACAATAGAAACTATCAGTCTCTTGAAACGCAATTTGTATTAAAATCACTCACCGGCTTTTCTCGCAGAAGATAACAACATTTTGATCAATCCTGGCATATCTGGAAAAAACATAATTTCATCGATTAGTGATTTAGTCTTTAAGCCCTCACTGCTACCAATTTTTTACCCCGTTGGATCTTAGGAAGGATCGCCTTGAAAAAAAGCGCTGACAAAATTTAGGTTTTGTCAGTACAAGACCCCTTTTGCCTTCCTTTTTTATTACTTTGTACCTACTGTTATAATAAGTGTTAAAAGACAATTATTTTTTATGTTATTTTTATACAAATAATCTACTTCTTATGATTGGTTTTGGATAAGACCACATAGTAAAATGTGAATGTTTGTTTTCGTACCCATCTCGTTCTTGAGCAGATTGAAGACTTTGACGAACTCCTTGGGGCCGAGACCACCTGACCATCTCAGAACCATCAGTTGGACACCAGCTATTCCGCCTGAAATGGAAAAAAAGTATTATAACGATTAATTTCAATTTCTTTACTGCATTATTGTTCACATAAAAAGGTCTTAAATATTTAATAAAGTTTCTTACAATAACGTAACAATAATCATCGCAGTTTTTAAAGTAATTTAATAATCGACTGAGGTTGAGCTAGGCTTACCTACTTAACCAAAATAAAAGGAAAAGTCAATGTCCTGTCATATCAGGACGGTAAGTCATCTGCATAGAAAAGACATACATACATATATCACGTCTCTATCCCTTGCAGGGTAGACAGAACGTAAACGGCCGTAAAAACGGCCATTAACACCACGTCTGACAAAAGTTATAGAGGCACTCAAAATACTGTGTATCACCATAGGGACAGGTTGTCAGCCTGTCGCCTAAATTGCAATACACATCAACTCTCAAAACCCTTACTTAGTCGCCTATAAGAAAAATATTGGGTGATGCTATTTTAAGCCGGCACCACACGGAAAAATGGTCAAGCTTATAGACCTATTTGCATTGAACTTTGTGTAAAAATAAACTTACTTTGGCCATGAATCAAGTGCTTGAAGAAGTCGGCTACTTCGTGAGCACCTACAAAAAAAAGATAGGTTAGAAAGCAAATGCCAACGCTATGAACAGTGGAAGGGTGAACCAGCCCATGAAACTGAACAACTTTTCCCAAGGAACATAGATCAAAATATGAAAAGATATTTGGATCCCCCATACGAACGAACCAGCAGAGCGAGTAAATAAATTGGTATGAGAGGACCAATTCTTTTTCTTATTTCGACTTATATTCCTTGGTGAACGTAGTACAGTTTCGTGGGCTGGTTCACTCTTAAAAATATTCGCAGTATTTTTTACACCTTATAGATTTGTAAAAAGCATAAATAATTTTCAATTTTTCTGAAATGTGTCGTCCATTTCTTCGTTCAACTGTTTTTTACTTTTTTATTCTATGGCCACTTTGAAGGTAATGTCAAAAGAAGGTCCAATTTCTAATAGCACGAAATATGTTTCATATTACTACTGGCCAGTTGCAATGGTGCAAACCTTCGAGCATTTCCGTCCCGGTGCAAACAAATAAACTTTTTTCTGGAAAATATATTTCGCTTCTTTTACTAATATGGTTTGCGATGCAGCTAGTTTACTATGTGGCCCGATTTAATAATAGATGAATTCTGTTTTACTTTTGTCTTACTTTTCGCTGATGTAGAAATTGTAGTATAAAGGACTTTGATTATGTTATGATTAAATGATTCAGCTGAATTAATCACGCTGGCGATCAGCTAGTCTCGTGCATAGTCACCAGTCATCGACTTCAGAAATCCGTACGCCTTTGTACATATATATCTGTACGCATATGTACATATCTGCACGCCAGATATATTATTATTGATTAATACTCACTCTTGCAATCTGCCAACCACTGGCAGACCTCCCACAGACCGTCGGAGTCAGCGTGTCCTGTCATCAACTCCAAAACTTCGTATGCCTTGAAAACATCTGAAAATAAGGTAAAGATGAGATGTAGACGGACTTAAAAAAATAAAATAAAACCCGGTGTAGAAAAATTTGGTCGCTTTAGAAATGGTATTCGTCTATCTAGGTACTTTAAAAAACTAAATAAAAATTTATATAAAAACACTTACCTTTTTCTCCGGTGATAGCGTGTAGTAGATCAACAATGATGCTAATGTCTGAAAAAATAAAAGAAATGCTTAAGCAAAACTATAGTACAAGCATTAATTTGACTAGGTAATAGGTAGGCAATAAATAACGTAGTTTGGTGTCCCATAATACAAAAAGGTTACTTCATTTTTATTCGAGTCATTTTTTATTTTTTATTTGAGGTTCGGTAAAAAAATGGCATTCTGTATGAAGGCTTTTATGTCATTAAGCCGACACCGACCACGAAAACGAAGACCATAGCGTACTATCTAATATGAAGCTAAAGAAGTCCAGGAACAGACTGCATTCTTCTTCTGTCGAATCGACAGCAATAAATAGGTAGATACTATACGGGGTGTAAGGGACAGCTCTCCGAATATTGATAGTGTGTTTTCGGGCCATGAAACTAATCAACTTACCATAGGAAAATATTTCAGGAGACGTAAAAACATATTTTTGACTTTCCATACACAGTCACGATCAGCTGACCGCATTTACTATGGGAAGTCAAAAAGTATTTTTTACATCTGCTGAAATATTTTCTTATGTAAAGTTGTTCAGTTTCGTGGTCTGAAAGCACCCTATAAGTATTCGAAGAGCTAACCCTTACACACTGTATTATCTACATTTGCCCAGTATCTCGCCACCCTCACTATCTGTGGATTCCATTGGCTCCTCCCATGTGGTCGACTTAAATTCTAAGCCTTTTCTTGAGTTATGTTCTTTCTACTTGAGTTTTAAGAGGAATTCCAAGTCACTAGGTACATAATAAAGGTATCGATCGACTCACTGGTGTGTCCCTCCATCTGCTTGAGGAAGTCCAGCATGATCTTCCAGTCCCGGGATCCTTGAGCCATCGCGACGAATTTGTACGCCAACTCCTCATCTGAGAACGAAAACATCATATAAAATACACAAACACACAACACCCTGGCGGGTTAGGCAGAGCATCATCCATCATCTGCCTGCCCTTATCCCAAATCAGTTGGGATTGGCGCAACACGATTTGTGAGAGTATAAAATGATGTTGCAAAAGGATTTGGAAATGTTTTATGACCGGCCGCCTGCCTGACATCACCCACTTTTGGAATGCTTTTGTAGGTGGTATCACCGCCACCATGTGGTTGACAATAGTTGACAGATACTCTCTCCTCCTCCTTGCATTGTTTGCCTCACTGCTGAGGGTCGTGATCTCTATGACGAACTTTTTCTCGGATCAGATTATGCAATCTTCCTCGATCTCCTGCCGTGTGGATAGCCTCGCTTAAGGTGGTATCAGAGTATGCGAGAATTTGGTCTGTCCAACGCAAAGGGCTACGTTACACGACAAATACTCAGCCGAGGTCAAAAACTCTACATCGCAGTTGACAAACTCTGACACCAGATTCATCGGGTCGTTTGACGACTTGAATTCCCACTCGAGGAAGAAGAAGAGGTGACTTACCGGTAACGTCGATGAGCTCCATGATGTATTGGATGGCCTTCTTCTCATCTAGAAATAAATAAAAAATAAGTAAGTATAAATAAATAGGTACTTATACGTACCTATGTTGTAACAAGCAAATATTTTAAAAACAAATATCCGCCCGAGGTAATTTCAAAGTTATATTTTGCTATAAACATCAGAGATCTTGCATTTATGACTTTTTAATATAGCCTGTGTCACTCGCGCTGCTCAGACGAATCTAACGACACCTCACATGTCAAGATTCGCCTAAGCGTTTGGGCTGTAACCCGTGAAAACGAATTTCTTGATTACATACAAACCCATACATACATACTCGTAAAACATAATCCTCCTTTTAGGGCAGCTGGGTAAGAATACATACATATATCACACCTAAGCCTATATCCCTTGCGGGGTAGGCAGAGCGTAAACAGCTGTAAAAACGGCCATTTACACCATGTCTGAAAATAGTTTGAGAAACGTTCAGAAGACGATGTATCACCATAATAGATAACAGGTTCTCAGCCTGTCGCCTAAAATTGCCATACCACATCAACTCTCAAAATCCCTTAGTCGCTTCTTACGATATCCACCCGCGGGAAAGATAAGTAGCAATGGGGTTAGCACCACACGGCATGGTTGTATTTCATGAAAAATGCGGTTAACATTTTGAAGAATGTTTGCACCAAGAAACCTTATAAACTCGCCTTATTTTTCGTATGAGCACGGAAACTAACCTACCTAATGGCCAATAATTTATTCGTTTAATGCAAATATAATAAAATTAATTATATTACCCGAATTTTATTGATCGAACAATTTGTTTGTTTGTACATATGGTCCGCGAAGGTCGATTGGCGCGTAGACTACATTGTATCAGCGAACAATTGTCTAAATATTGTTCAATTATGTTTTTATATCAATTTATTGGCGAAATTTTTATTATTTCATAATTTGGCGTCAGAAGTTAATGTTCTTAGATATGTCTGACGTAGCAAATTATCACATTTATAGCTAGATCTAAATCGATGCAGATTTAATAAAACTGAAACTAGAGGTTATACACCACATATTTTGTAAATGTATTGATTCTTCTAATAAGACGTATGCGTGCGCGTCATCACGCGCGTACCGGTTGTAATGTATTAGGATTGTATGAGGATTTCTTTACCACGACTCAAACCTGCCCGTTAGCATTTCATTTAACACCCTGTATTGATCTCTAAACAATATAAATACTTACCGCGCATGTT